TGTGTGTGTGTGTGTGTGTGTGTGTGTGTGTGTGTGTGTGTGTGTGTGTGTGTGAGAGAGAGAGAGTGTGAGTGTGTGTACATGTTTTTGTTACTTGGTGGGGACAGTTTTATGTTGAAGAATTAGGGGTTCATTTTAGGACAAAAATGTGAATTGAGTTTAGGTTAGGTTTAGTGTAAATGATTGAGGTTAGGCTGTAGAATTGTCCGATAAATGCAAAGTCCCAATGAGGATAAAAGAACAAATTGTGTGTGTGTGTGTTTCTTAAACCAGTCCTGCCACATTTACCTGGTAAAGGGAGAGAGGTGATTGGGTAAGACTCTAAGGAAAATCTCCACCCTCGTTTCCAAGTACGCATATTTGTAACATCTTTAAAAGACCGACACATTTTTCTCTCGGAGCAGAGGAGTTTTCACGCATCTTCACATCTTTGGAGCCCTGACTGCACTGAGGTACCAGCCTTTATTTATTTATCTTCGTGGATTTATTTGTCTAACACATATTAATTTTTATTTACAAAGTGACATCATGCAGTGGGAGACCAGAGATATACATGGTATTAAAAGCTAATTTAAGACTTTTATATCAACATTAAAAAAAACTTATAATCAGTAAGAATGATGTCATTTCATTCTGTCAAAATAATAAAAGTGGATAATTGTGTAAAGTGTTAAAAATGTATAAATATTAGAATTTACCTAAACAGCCGGTCGAGGCAGATGGTCTCCTGTCCTGAGCCTGGTTCTGCTGGAGGTTTCTTCCTGATTAGCAGGGAGTTTTTCCTCTCCACCGTTTGCTCAGGATGGGAGACTGTGATGAAGTGATTCAACACAATCTGCTGCTTTCTTCTTTACATTGTTCTTTTTTATGTACACTGCCCTGAGACAACGTATGTTGTGACTTGGTGCTATATGAATAAACTGAACTGAATTGAATGAACATTTTCTCTTCACATAATATTCAAGTTGGAAATTAATATTTTTTAAATATAAAGCACAACGTATTCAGTCTAAAACTTTTGCTTAGACTGTATAAATCAAGAACGTATTCTAAAAAATGTTTTTAAATGTCCTGTCATGCTTTGTGTTTTTGGATTTCCAGACTTTTGGAAAGTTTGCAGCTGAAAAAATTTAACATTTATGATCTGTTAATTTTTTCATATTTTGGCTACAAGTCATTTTGCTTCAGATTGAAGAAGTTTATGAAACACATTTCTTAATCACAGAGTTAAGTACAATTGAAACAAATGATCATTTACTGCAGGTTTTTTTTTTAAGTGTCAAAAACAATTTTCCAAATTGTTCTAACTAAAAAGAAAAATGTGCTGTACCCCTAAGTTTCTTATTTTAAGACTAAGATTGTTACAAAAAATACAAAACGCAAAGTTATGGACCTTTTTTGGATTCATGGGAGGCTTCCTGTTTATTATGTGACAGAAAAGTTATTAAAGTTGAAGAGCAACAACAGAAATATTTCACTTCATACTCATTTGTGGGAAAATTTCAAGTCTTAAGTTATAAAAACTCAAAAACAAAGTTTTTAATCAACTGGAACGAACTGCTGGTGCAGACTCTCAGAAGGAAACTGTTTTTTATTTATGTAGCTTTTTCAAACCTAAACTTCTTGAATGAGGAGAAGCTCAGCCCTCTTCCTCATCTTAAGCTCGTCCTGGAATGTCTCAAGGCATTTCTAGGCCAGGGACATAACTCCTCCTCCGAGTGCTTCTTGTCCCGGAGGCATCCTGATCAGAATCCTGAACCCCTCCTGCTGATGTGGAGGATCTCCTCATCGAGCTGATGATCGCCCTGCAGAGGGAACTTCTTGCATCTTGTTCTTTTGCTCAAGATTTAAAAAAAACTCATGACCAGAGGTGAGGGTTGGGACGTTGATGGACCAGTGAACTGTGAACAATCTTTTGGCTCAACTCATTCTTTACCACAACAAGCTGGAGAAACGCCCTCACTGCTGCATTCCAGCTTGTTCCGGTTCAGAACTGCTGACTCGTGGCTCGAAGACAGCTGCAGAACCACATCACAATGTCCTGAAGCAGAGACGAGACTCCAGGTGTTCCTAAACAAGACCACTTCCTCTCCACGAGTGCACAGGATCGGAGACAATGGACAGCACCCAAAGAGTCAAAAGCCAACCAAAAAACAAGCTCTTCATTTAGTTACCCCAAACAGTTGACCCCAACAACTCGCACAGTAAAGAACCATTCCCCAGGTTTACAAAACACACGTGGACAAGACGGGTGGTTCACAAAGTTGACCTCATAGTGAATCATGAGTCACCAAGTTAGATGTCTTGAGATGATTTCCAGGAAGCAAATAAAAAGCTTAATTGATGCATAAGAAACTGTTGACTTTAACTAGAAACACGTGGCATCTTCAGTGTTAATCTGTAGATCAGACGCTTTAAAAGATTTATAAAATGGTGAACTAGACCATCAAACCCCTATAATACCTCTCAGCTTCTCTGCAAAGAAAAAAAATAGATATTGTTGGTGTCATTGCAAAATGTCAAATGTTACAAATGCCTTTACTAAAAGTACTCCAAATAGTCCAAAAACAGCAGCTTATTGTTGTTTACATCCTCCGTGTTGTTTACAGAGTTGATGTGTTTGGTGAACCAAGAGTCCAGGACTCTCTGAGGATCACTGAGAATCTCCACCAACATATTGATTTGTTACAACAGATAAGAGTCTTTTGGATTTTAAAGCTTGTTTGTATCCGTTTTGTGTTTCAGGATGTCTTTAAATGGCAGTTTTCTGTCTGAGGACCAGTTCATGTGTTCTATATGCCTCGACGTGTTCACAAACCCTTCCTCCACGCCGTGTGGTCACAGCTTCTGCATGACCTGCATCAGTAGATACTGGGACGGATCCCAGGTTTGTCATCATTGTGGTTTTAACTATTATAGTTTCAGGGCCTTTTCTTCCTGGTAATGAGAAGTTTTTTACACTAACCACACTTGGTTTGAAAATGTATTTTAATGTACTTACCAAACAAACAAACTCCCTGTTAGCTTATCAAATATACTGAGTCACACTAAGAACATTTTTTATACCAAGTTGTTTTTATTTAGAAAATTTTCTGTGGTTTGTTCAAATTTGGCCATTTATCAGCTGGCTTGACAACAAGCTAGTTTTGTTTATGAGAGCACCAGTTAAAAACTCAATATTTATTGGTCTGGAGGGATGTCTTTGAGAACTCCAGCCATAGGTTTATAAAGGGGAATCCCCATGCTTCACAATGCAAGACCTTACGTCTTTAAAAAACGTACAATAATTTGCCTTCAGGCCCAGGCCTCCCTTGAAAAAGAGATCTGAGATCTCAACAGGACTTGCCTGGTTAAATAACAGTAAATAAATCTTTAGATAAAATGTATAATTTTTAAAGACTGTAGCTTTTTGTATTGGCATATTGTTATTTGGTGAACTACAATTATTTTGTATTTTGAGGTCACAAGTCTCTTTTTCTGTTGATCAGATGATGAACTATTTGGAAACTCTAATATGTTTAGTGTTATTATTTTTCTCCTTCCGTTTTTCTGTCATTTATGTCTCGTCACCTTTTTCTTTCAGGTCTACCAGTGTCCTCTATGTAAGAAGACCTTTCAGAAGCGACCGGACCTTCAGATTAACCGGACGCTCCGAGAGATCACCGATCAGTTCAAATCAATGAACGATGGCGTGGTGCTGGGGAAGAACAAGAAAGGAAGAAAAGCTGGACGGGGAGCCTTCATTCAAGAGTTTAAAAAGAAGTTCCCAAAATCTTCATCGAAAGAAAATACTCAAGATCTGGGTAAGTCAGACAGTAGAGAACATAGATATTATTAAAACATTCTTTAGTCGTGTTTTTGATCTGGAAACCTCTCAGATCAATCTGCTGCTGAGGAATGATAAACAAACATGTTTGTAGGTTAGAAATGACTACAGGGTTTAATGTGAGGTCATGTCACATTCTACAGGTAATGTCTGATTTTCATGTCTGAGTCATGGAACAAACACGTGAGTCCGTGGACCAAAACCCAATGTATAACCCAGCAGGTTTGGACTGTGCCAGACCCTGGGACTGAGTCAAACACTGGGTAGTTTTACCTCAGTGGGTTTGTTGTCTTTTTGTGGGTAAAATAATCAACATGCATAATGAGAGATGTGTGGTCAATGTTAGCTTTAAAGCAACATATTTTAAGACATTAATACATCTTTGAAACTCTCAAAGACCACATAAAATGCCACGTGTCAAACTCTGAGTTAGGTATGTTAGATAGTTACAATATCGGTGCATAACGGATTAAAGAACCAGATTAAACATAACAAACGTTTTTTTACCACCTTACCTTTACATAGCATATCTTTGGGTAGCTTGGTAATCGGTGCCTTTGTCTTGTAATCCTGAGGCTGTAAGTTGGAGCCCAGGTTGGGTATTCCATGTAAAAAAAGGAACAACAATTGTTACTTAATGCATCCTAAAGCGGAGATCCGGTCAGTTTCCTTTGGTCAACGCTTGGACTGTAAAAATGACAAATCTCATCTTCAACCCAATCACTGGGCGAAGCTTTTTGACCAAACATTTGGTCAAACCAACCCAAACTATACAATTTTAACCCAGCAAGAAGGTCAGAGCATTAAAGTTAGTATTTTGTTTGTGTCTTTACATTCATTTAAAAAAATAGCAACAGATTTGCCCAAAAATATCTTACAAACCTTTGACGACGCCGCTGTCGAAATATTGACTGGTTGTTGACACTTTTCTTGTATCTTGTTCTTCGTCAGGTGATTCCATCTTGCCTTTGCTATCACCAGTCACAGCTCCAATGGCTTCATCGGTTCCAGACACCGCAGTGGTTGGAAGTCCAAACACCTCGCTTCATCCTCCATCTTTATATCCAAGATCCTTATCCAACGGTCGTAGGAGGTTCACCCTGAGTGGTGCAGCCAGCAGCCAGCATATCCCTTTGTGTGAAACTCACCTGAGGGGACTAATGGTACAACAACAGCTCTGATAAGAGAATGAACATTAATGTAGAAAATAATTAATAAATAACATGTAGCTCTTTTTTCTCATTGCTTTTAGCTCTACTGTCGGTCCGACCAGATGTGCATCTGTCCTGAATGTGAGATTGAGGATCACAACGATCACGACACCGTGTCCGTTGAGACCGAATGGATGGAAACTAAGGTTGGAAAAGAAAATGGAGAAAGAGACAATGATTGTATTGTTGTTTGGAGTGAGTCATTAGGACCAGAGGAAGAATGTGGGTGATGTTTGACAGACAGAAATAATCTGTTGGTATTTTGTATGGTACTGTTGTTTCTCCAGGTCTGAAGACTGGTTAGACCACTCCATGATCTTAACAGGCTTTATCTTTAGCCACTTTGGTGCCTTGGTGTAATGGTTTGAGTCACAAGATCAATCTATGACCCAACTTCAGAGTTCTTATTGAATGTAGAAGGTTCTCGTTTTAAGATTTTAAGGTACATGGCTCCGTTCATTCTTCCACTTCCAAATAACTGAACCAACAGTGTTCACCATCTCACCAAGATTCTTGTTGATGGTTGTGTAGATCTATTCTTCGCCTAATGTAGACAACTCTTTGGAATGGGAGAAATTGATTTTATGGACATTTCAGATGTACACAAATAATGAAATGAGATTAGGAGGGTTGAAATTGGTTAACTGATTGAAGGATTAAGGGATCCATTGATTGGTTGGCACATAACCTAAGCTGATGCTAAAGTACACATCAAATTTAAGACCAAATCAGCTCCACCAGCAATATAAATATGTGATGTAATTTAATGGAATATCCTTTAAAGTGACCTCAATATGACTCTGGGTGTGTTTGTAGACACAGCTCAGGAATTCAGAGGAAGAGATCCAAGAGATGATCAGAGTGAGAACAAAAAAGATTGATGAGATCAAGACATCGGTGACTGAAGTGGAGGTAAAACAATTCACACAATTCACGTTCTTTAGATTTTTCCATCTGCCGCCTGTCACAAACTCATTGAACCCTAAAACTTTGCCTCATTGTTTAGATTTGGTTTAAATAAAATGTAGAAAGTTTTTTTCCAAATTTACACTTTAAAGGTCTAACTGCGCAATTTTTCTCAATCATCTACTTTTCAGTCAAGATTTTTCGAGATATGAACTCGACTCCTTTATTTTTCCCCACTGAGGATCCAGAATCGAACAAAAATGCAAAATCCAAGACCTAAAATACCCATTCTGATCTCCTCAGATGGCAGTGGAGAGGGAGACGTCGGGTAGCGTTCGTCTCTACTCGACGTTGGTTTCTGCCATCGAACGCTCCCAGGCAGAGTTGATGGAGGTAATGGAGATCAGCCGAAGGGCGGCGCGTAACCATGCCGATGCCATGATTCGGCAGCTGGAGTGGGAGATTGAAGACCTTAAGCAGAGGGAAAGCGCTCTCGCTGAGCTTGCCCAGTCGGACGACCACATACACTGCGTCAAGGTTGGTTGAGAACTTAAAGCGTCAATGAAAAACGGTGAAAACACCACCCCAGACATCCATTTAATCTCTTCTATGTTTTACCCCAGACCTTCCCCGACCTCTCCACACCTCCGGTTACCAAAGACTGGTCTGGAGTGTCTCTGAACTCTGACCTGGGAACAGCCACTGTCTACAGATCTTTGTCAGCCATGATGGAAAAGTTCCAAGAAGACCTGAAGGATGTTGTGGAAAATGGTCGGTGAAATCCAAAACATGCGGCTCATTTCCAGTAGAGACAAGGATGGGTTTTTATTTAGAAATATTAAGTTATTTGTAGAAGTATGAGCAAATTTTTCCCTATTCAGTTCCAAAAGATTGTGCTAAAAAAACTAATTTAAAGATTTTGTGAGCAAACACTAGAGGATGGTGTTTCTAAGCTTTTTCAGTACTGTTAGAGTATTTAGTCCTTACAGATTTCTTCTGCTTTTGGATTTTTGCCACATAAAAAGATATCTTGAGTATCTAAAACATACAGTTTGCATACATTATTATAATTTTTTGGAAGAAAAAAAAGAAATCACTTCGATAAGGAAGGCTATCTAAAAAAAATAAAACATGAAACAATGGTAAACCTTCCCACGATGGGTTGGCCCAATAATATTACTCCAAGAGCACATCAAAGACTCACCCAGGTGGTCCCAACAAAAACCAGAATAATGACTAAAATCCTGCAGGACTTCCTCGCCTCAGTTAAAATCAGAAGTCATAATTTTAAAATGAGAAAGAGGCAAAAATGGCCTCCATGAGAGAGTTTAGTGGCCAAAACCATTGTTGAAAAAGACGTGTCTCACCCTTCCATCCATCCATCCATCCATCTAAAATCTTCATTTTGTCTTTAATAATATTGTCTTTGACTGATTTTAACACTGATTTGATGATCTGAAACGTGTTTAACACGAAGGGAAAACTTTTTCACTGTAAAGTGTTTAAACATCGCCCTCTAGTGTTAAATAAAGCGTTTAGACTTTAAAGTCCTTTAAACTATTACATTGTCTGTTATCTGCTGCCAATTATACCCAAATATTATGTTTTGACTGGATTCAGCTGCTAAAACATTTTGCTACTTATTCAGGATTTCCTGCCACAGGATTGGGAAATAATCCAGTACTATCACAGTCTAGTAAGCGTGTATTTTTACAATGAATAAATCAAACATACATTTATGTTGCCTGGAGAATATATTCTACTCACCTTTAATATGCAAATGTGTTTTTTCCTTATAGGGGCAAAGAAAATACAAGAATATGCACGTATGTTGCGTTTATTTCATACTGATCATTTCACAGTTTGCAGATGCGTCTAAAGAAGACTAATGTTTATTACATCTTTGTTCTGTTCAGTGGACGTCACTCTGGACACTAATACTGCACATCCAAGACTGGTGCTGTCAGAAGACCTAAAAACTGTGAGTCATCTGTTTAATGACCACAAACATTTGATAATTATTAATAAAAGATTCATTTTTTTGTATATTCAAAACCATATTTGTGGCTGTACTGATGAACTCCGCAGGTTTGGTGTGTAGACAGACACCATCACGTACCGGAGTCTCCTGAAAGGTTTGACCGAGTTGTGTGTGTTCTAGGGAGGGAGGCCATTTCTTCTGGGAAACATTACTGGGAGGTAAAATCAAAAGAACTTGTATCTTGATTGTTGTCTAGAAATGTGTACTTGAATGTGTAATATCTGAAATACTGTAAATATGTTATGGTGAAACGCTCCTTTTGGGTTGGAGGGTCTTTACCTCAAGACAAGTTCTAATATCTGGGAGTCAACAAGAGGTTTATCAACCTTTATTAAAACAGTAAAATCCCTCTGAGATCGTGGATAACTTTTTCAAGGGAGGTCTGGGTCTGAAGGCAGCTTAACATGCATGTTGTTGAACTGTGAGAGAAAACTGGAGTACCTGGAGAACACCACTAATGCACTCTGCCGCCTATGATCGATCGATGGATTAGGATTTCTCTGCAGTATTGAGGGTGCAAAGCTCTCAAATTTCTGGTTCATATTTGGGAACATAGGTACATGGGAATATAGGTACCGAGAAACATACAGTAACTATGGGAACAGTACAGGGAAACAAAAGTACCAGTGAACATAGGTATTGGGGAATGTAAATACTGGAAATTATTGGCAACGGAGAATGTAAGTACAGGGAAACATAGGTACATGGAAACATAGGTACCATGGAACTTAGGGACTGAGAAACATAGGTCCTAGTACCAGGAAACATAAGTATCGGGAAACATAGGTACAGGAGAATATAGGTAGAGGGGAACTTAGGAACTTAGAAACATAGGTAATAGTACCAGGAAACATAAGTATCGGGAAACATAGGTACAGGAGAATATAGGTACAGGGGAACTTAGGAACTTAGGAACTTAGAAACATAGGTAATAGTACCAGGGAACATAAGTATCGGGAAACATAGGTACAGGAGAATATAGGTAGAGGGGAACTTAGGAACTTAGAAACATAGGTAATAGTACCAGGGAACATAAATACCGGGAAACTTAAGAACTGAGAAACATATTACTAGGGAATATAGGTACCAGAAAACATAGGTACCAGGGAACTTAGGGACTCAGAAACATAGGTACCAGGGAACATAGGTACAGGAGAACATAGGTACTGGGGAACTTAAGGACTGAGAAACATAGGTAATAGTACCAGGGAACATAAATACCGGGAAACTTAAGAACTGAGAAACATAGTACTAAGGAATATAGGTACCAGGGAACATAGGTACAGGAGAACATAGGTACTGGGAAACTTAAGGACTGAGAAACATAGGTAATAGTACCAGGGAACATAGGGACCAGGAAACATGGGAAAACTCCCCCATAATCCAGGGAAGCTCAGAGTAGAACTGCTACTCCTCCACATTGAAAGGAGTCGGCTGAAATGGTCTGGGCTTCTGATTTTGATATCTCTTAGAGTAGATTAGTTTTCGTTTTACCTTCAGCCCTTTTATCTCAGTATGTGGTTGTTGTGTTTCCAATGAACAGGTCGAGGTGAATGGGAAGACCGACTGGGATCTGGGTGTGGCCAGGCACTCTGTCAACAGGAAGGGGAAGATAGATTACACCCCAAACAACGGTTTTTGGTTCCTCAGTTTAAGAGACAAGTGAGTTATTTTTAAGGTAGTTTCTCACAATAATTTGGAGTAGTTACTGGATAAACCAGTCAGCTTGGTGCAGTCTGACTTGGACTGGTTCCCCTTTGAAATGGAATGGGTTGACAAAAACACAAACATTTTTGTAGTATTTTCTTTACTCTATTGGCCCAGTTGTTCAGTGGTCATATAAAGTCCTTAAAGAGCCAATCTAATCTTCCTCATGACCAAACACAGCAGTTTTATTTACCAGTCATTAGACATGAAGAAAATTTGTCTTTAATTCCAAATCATCATGTTTGTGATGTTTGTTCAGGAATAAATATGCCTTTAGATCCGAACCATACACCGACTTCCAGCTGAACACCAGACCCCATAAGATTGGAATATTTGTGGACTACGAAAAAGGAGAGGTGACAGACTACATGCATTTTTGTTACGGTATTACCCATTGTTCTGCTGAAATTTTAAACTGTGTCCAACTTCTGTTCTTTTCCCCACAGGTATCTTTTTTCAACGTTGACGCCAAAGTCCATATCTATTCTTTCCACGACGTTTTCACTGAAAACCTCTACCCGTTTTTCAGTCCCTGCACTAATAAATCTGGAAAGAACGAGATGCCTCTGATAATTACAAGAGTAAATATGACACATTAGCATCCACCATGTTTGGTTATTTTCTGTTCCTCAGGTACTTATTTGCTCTGGGGTTAAAACATGATACTTATCTGTTTATCTTAACATACGGACTAGGAGTAAAGACGATAAACAATGGCTTGTTTGGCAATTAAAATAATGTGACAACCACCACTTAGAAAACTATTTTAATTTCCGTTGAACAACACTAACAGTTTAGCTCATTTTTTAAGGAGCTATTTGATTTAATATGTCCTAAAGACAAGCGTAAGGAAAAAACAGTTGGAATAATTGTGTAGGTACTCTGAGTAACATCTGTCAGTCAATACCAGAAAACCTACCCCTCATTTCTTTTGGACTATGCTAACAGTTTCACGCATTTTTTGAGGACCATTTTAGGCTAAACTAAACTAGCATAACTAAAAGCAATAAAAGAAAAACAGTTAATTATTGTTTTTTTTTTCTTCCACGCTTTAACTACACAGTTTACTTTATTTTTGGAAGCTATTTTGTTTAGTTTAGCTAAACTTCTCAGAGAAATTTAGCTAAGCTAAACTAGCTTTAAGCTATGGAAACAGCTGTTCTTTCACATAAAATATGGTTCAACTTTTGCTGTTTTTAGGTATTTTCTTAAAAGACATTTGTACTCACTGGCTTCTAATTCAACATGAGAGTTTAGGGTTTGTTTTCATTTAATTTGTCGTGTTTTTTTTTAATTCAAATTGTTGTTTTGATTTGTAGCTTTTATGTGCAGCAGTTTGGCCAACAGCTGTTCTTAATGTGCTATATAAATAAATCTGATTTTAAAACAGCTGCTGGCAAAAATAATAATTTTTTTTAAACTTCTATGTGTTTTCTTTTAAACTATGCTAACAGTGTAGCTTATTTTTATAATCTATTAGCCTAGCTAAATTAGCTCAGCTTAAAGATGAATAAAGAAAGCTTTTGGACTAATCCAACAACAGACTAAAAGTAAAAACAGTTACATCTACCACCTGGAAAACATATTGTTATTTATTATCTCCTGTCTTGGAGCACGATAAGCATTTGGAACATTTTTCAGTTTGGAATTACTGCTAATCTGCCACCAAAATTACAAGAAAATTATATTTGCATGTATATAAGCAGTAAAAATGAGTTATTTACAGAAATACCTCTGCTTCCTGCTACATTGTGTTACTGGACTCATTGAATAATGTTTTTGTTTTCTAAATAAAGCTGTAAATAAAAACTGTCTTGTTGCCCTATGGTAACCATCAGAATGACTCCATTTATTATAATAAAATCTCGTCATAAAAGAGAAAATGTGTGTAAAACATTGAGCTTTAACAGTAGAGGTCACCAGAAGCACAAAATAAAGAAAACATAGTTTGACTGGCTAATCTACTGTGAAAGTAGTGAATAAATGTATTAGTTGTAAATGATTTATGATGCAGTGAGTTTCACTGTTTTGATCTGGTTAATTGTGTTTGTTAACCAGTAGTTTTGACAAAAAAACACATTACAAGCTAAGAACAATAGTTATATACATTTAACTGTTTAAACACTGTAGTGACATATTTATTAACAAAAGTTGTACAGTATGACACATGATGACACAAATGTAAACCCATACCAATAGTTGTATGGTGCGTTCACTGGCCGTAGGAAGTCTAGAATTTAAATTGTCACCAGCTGTACAGTTTAACAATGGAGGAGGAGTCAAAATGCTTTAATGCGACTTTATACGAGGTTGAAATGCAAAACAAAATTCTAAGTTTACCACCTATAAATAACGATTGCTCTAACATGTCCTCCACGTATAAACATCGGATTTCCGATGCTGCTGAATGCATCATTTGCTTTCACTTTAGTTGTTCACTGACTCTTGAAACTTGGGCAAAAACATGTCCCAGTACAAAAAGGGCTAATTCATTTTAGAAATAATAACGTTTTTATAAATAAATTAATCTAGGTTATCATACAAGGGGCCTTTGCACACATGTAAGTTTTTATTATTATTATTATTTTAATTTGCATTAATTTATCTGCAGGCCCACTGCCCACAAAAGCACTTGTCCTCAGACAGAAGATACTTAGTTCAACTAGATTAAAAAAGAAAAGTAATAATTTAATTGAATCATAGTTTTACCATATGAAAGAGTCCATTGTAGTTTGTATTAAAATGAAGAGTCAGTGAGTTTTGAACAATTTTTAGTATTATTTTACGGTTGCTCCAAATGTGTCCCACATTTGTCCCACATATTTGTCACCACCGTCAGATATTTACAAATAAAAAAACATAAAATCTGGCAACTACAACGTCAACTACATTTCTGAGGACCCTATTTTTAAATCTTTAGCTCTACTGCATGCTTCAAGATCACTAAAGCTCCTGTAAGTGAACTATTTTCTCTTAAATTTGTCCATATTTTTGGACACTGCTACTGCCACAACTATAACATGTCACCACCGTCTCTTTTGTTTAAAAAATCTTAAATAAGATTATGACACGAATCTATACTTTTTAAGAAGAGGTCTGAAGTAGCTAACAATAGAGGGGAAACAAGATGGCTAATGTGAACAATTAATCCATAGCATGTGAAAGAGTAGATTTCTGTCACCATCAGATTATCAGTCTGATGGTGGTGACAAAACCCACCAAATGCTCTGTAGTGGAGGTTTATAT